ACCAGTAAGTGCTCTTAACCGCTGTGCCAACTCTCCAGCCCCCAATCTTTTTTTTTTTATTTGTGAGACAATGTAAGTTTTATTGTAATATCAAAACCAAGAAGAATTACATGAAAGCTATAGTTCACAAAGGATGGGTCTGGTGAGGGCCTTCGAGAAAAACTAAACAAGTGGGAAAAATTCTTGTTGTGATAAAATTATGGTGAATATGGGAACTGAAAACATATAGTTTTGGGGGTAGAACTGTCACAGATAGTCTATCTAATACATTCCATGGGGGATAAACCCTGTATCTCAAAGGCCTGAGCAGTCACTAGGAAGAAGTCCTCTTCTTGTAAGATGCCCAAGGATTTGCCATTAGCCTTGGGTTTACTGTTGGGCTCTATTGCCTCCTCTTTTCATTCATGATTTTTAAATGCAAACTTGTAATTACAATTTAGGTTCTTGGTTTCTTGATGCTAAAGAAAGTGTTAAACAAAGGTTAAGACAATACACTGGTCAGAAGAGATTTCCGAGGTCTTCAAAGCTTACATCACAGAGTAACCCTCCGAGCTCTGCCCCAATCAGCTTCCCTCGCTTCCCTTTCACAGGTGTTAACCCTGGCAGCACTCCCTAATACATTTCTTGCCTGCTAATCTGTGCCTTGCAGTTTGCTCCCCTGGGAACTCAATTTTGAGCCTCTATCTTTAACCAGAGTAGGAGTCAGGTGTTCAAATTCGGTTGTTAGCCATCTGTCTCCATTTTTCAGCCCTACAGCCAACTCACTCCCAGCAAGGCTGTCCTCTGTGATTGAAAGACAACTTCAGCATACTTCACCAAAATTTGCTGCCACAATCAATTCCATGAAAATAATTTTCTTTCTCTTCTTCTTGTTTTAATAAAAGGAAGAGTTTATTTGGGCTTATGTTCCAGAGGGATAAGAGTCTGCCATGACAGCAGGCATGGCAGGAGGCAGCCAGAGCAGAAAGCAGAGTGCACCCATCTTCAAGCACGTACAGGAAGATAGAGAGTAAGCTGGAAGGGGGTAAGGCCATGAACTCTCAGAGCCTGCTTCCAGTGACATGCTTCCTCCAGCTAGGCCACATCTGAAGCTACCATGACCCTCCCCAAACAGCACCACCAATTGATCAAATGTTCAAATACTTGAGCCTATGGGGGACATGTCTCATTCAAAGCACAACTACCCTCCCCTGTCCCTCCCACCAGTAGTCCCCCTTCAGCTTTCATCTATCTGTATATGAGAGAAAACGGGCTGTATTTCCTTTTCTACCCCATTACCTTCACTTACTGTCCTTTCCCCTCTCTTTTACCCTTTCTTCCCTCATATCATCCCTATTCTCTCTCTCTCTTCCTTACTCTCTCTCTCTTCCTCCCTCTCCCTCTACACACACACACACACACACACACACACACACACACACACACACACACACACACACACACACACACACAGCCAATTCCATCCATTTTCCAGAAAAAGAGATGTCATTCTTCTTTATGACTGAATAAAACTAAAACCACATTGTGCATATACAGTACATTTACTTTATGTATTCATCTTCGGATGTGCCTCTAGGCTTTTTACATATGTTGGCTTTTGTGAACAGTGCTACAATAAACATGTGTGTGTAAGTATCTTTGTGGTATGCGGAGTTAAAATTCCTTTGGATTTATATCAGGAATGGTAACCATGTGCTCTTTTGAGAAATCTCTCCAGACTATTTGCCAGTTTTTAAATTGGATTACTTGGGTCTGTTGTTTTAAGTGCTTTATATGTTCTAGCTAGTAATTATCTGAGTTAGAAATAATTTCTCCCCTTGTATAGCATGTCTCTTCACTGTGCTGATCATTTCTTTTGTTGTATAGAGCTTTTTAATTGGATGCAATCATATTTCTCAAATCTTGCATTTATTTCCTGAGCTACTAGAACTATATCCAAGAAGTCATCACCTGTGCCAACATATTAAAGTGCTTCCCCTATGTTTTCGTGTAGTAGAGTTGAAGTTTCAAGTGTTACATTAAACAGTCTTTTATCCATTCAGAATTGATTTTGACACACACTGAGAGATAGGAGTTTGGTTTCCATCTTTTACATGTAGATATCCAATTTTCCTAGATCTATTTGTTAAAGTCTGCCTTTTCTCTCCAATGTATGCTGTGGTCACTTTGCTTAAGAATCAGTTGGCTGATGATCCATGAAGTGACTCCTGGGATGTCTTTTCTGCTCCATTGGTCTGCATTTGTTTTTAAGGCAGCACCATGCTGTTTTTGTTACTATGGCTCTATAATATGCCTCATTTGTATTAACCAACACTCTCAGTCAATAGTTAACTTTTCTCCTCTCGTTTGGCAACAGATTAAACCCCCCTTACAGAATTATTTAGGAAGGGCTCCCTCCTTGTTAATTCTTTGAGAAGTATGAGAAGAATTGGCATTTAAAAAATGTGACAGTAAAGTCATCTGGCTCTGGACATTTTTGCTTGAAGACTTTTTATTACTGATTGAATGTTGTTATGTATAATTGATCTTTTTAGGGGAGTTTAATCTTTATAAAAATTTTTGCTCTCCTTCCCTGGGCTGCACAACCCACCAGCCTCTTTCCTGTATACAGGGGCTAACCTCTCAGCCGGGAACCACCACTGCTTCCTGATCCCTTGCATCCAGATGAACCCAGTTCCTTCTCAGGAGCCCCCAGGAGCCCTCTGGGCCTGGTCCCACCCTCACCTCCCTCTACTTCCCTGAGCCTGCACAACCCACCAGCCTCTCTCCTAGGTACTCCACAGCGCCCTCTGCACCTTGACTCCCCCAGCTTCATTCACCCTCCCATCTCCCCTGCCCGTCTCTCCTCCTAGCCTAGGTACTGCCCATTCCTTGTCTTGGCACCGCAGACACCAGGGGAACCACCACTGCTTCCTGATCCTTTGCATCCAGACCAACCCAGTTCCTTCTCCTGGTCTCCAGGAGCACTCTGGGCCTCATTCTGCCCTCACATCCCTCTGCTTCCCTGGGCTGCACAACCCGCCATCCTCTCTCCCAGGAGCCCACTGGGCCTGGTCCCGTCCTCACCTCCCTCTACTTCCCTGGGCTGCACAACCCCCCAGCCTCTTTTCTGGACACCAGGGCTGTCCTCTCGGCTTCCTGATCCTTTGCATCCAGACCAACCCAGTTCCTCCCTGCAGTCCCCAGGAGCTCTTGGGGCCTCTTCCTGCCCCCATCTCCCTTTGCATTTCTGGGTGGCATGGCCACCAACTGCCCTAGACCAGCATCTTTCCTGGGCCCTGCTTCCAGAACATTCCAAATCACAAATTTCAAAGGACATCTTTTCTGGAGGGATCCAGACCTTAGGAGAATGCCTGAGAGCATCTGATCCTCATCTGACTAGGGCCCCTTTGGGAACTCCTGAAGATAAAAGGAATCTGGCCACTCCAATATAAAATCAAAAGAGAGAAATTTAAGCTTAGAGGAACCAGCTTTTCATGCCTAAAAAATTAAACCACAAAGGCACATAAAGTTTACAAAAAGAAGCAGACCTAAACTTGAAGGCTTGAGTCTCACACAAGAATCAGAAACTATAAAAGAAATTCACATGTCAAAATCACAGAGAAAAAATAATAACATGAAAAACAAAAATAACATATCCCAAATACCAATATCCCTCTAGAGGAATACAAAGAGAACCCCCTAGAGATAAAGCAGGACATGGAACTCAAAAGAACAATTATAAACACGATAAAAGAATTCAGTGAATTTAAAGAACACACAAAGAAATCAAAGAACTGAAGGAAGATAGGGATAAAATTCTGAATGAAATCAGAAAAGAGCTAAAAATATTGAAGACTACTCAGGTTGAAATGAAGGTTC